TTTGTTGTATATATTTTCTATAACTATAAGCTCAAACATCTGTTGCGCGTGCACAAAGTAAATCACTTAATCAAACAGATGTGACAACGCCATGTAACACTTCCTGTAGATATCTTATTATCTATGTCATAAGATGTAATATTTAAATACAACTACGTTTTCCTTTGCATAAAAAGTATTGTGAAGTCTAGTTAAAGAGTAGTTCTACGTTGGTGTTAAGTATACATTCAAGTAATATTTAGTACTGAAAACTTTTCTATCCCAGCCGCAACCCCACTTTCTTTTGCGGAAGCATATTATTGCAGCCAAAACATAACTGTTATATAAAGTTGTTGTTTTACAACAACAACTATTTCATCGGTTTCAACAGCTTGACTTGGACGTTCAACTACACGTGTTCTGGCTGGTTCTGACATTATTTTTCTGCCGCCTTAGTTCAGAAAACGGGAACTTTAACTATACTAGGAAGTATCTGCTAATCAATGCACATACGAGCTATAATTTAAGAATCTGTATGTGGTTTATACTCATTATCAAGATAATCGAAGATTAACTCCACTAATTGGATATTTTACGGTTGGGTGCCGCATCTTGGAAGTATTCTAAAAAATCTACCTGTTAGTGAATGTCAATTATAAAACTATTATACCTTTAGAAATGCCAATACATTACGTTTCTATTGCACAATGTAATACACGTTTATCAAGTGAATTAAAATTAATCGTGTTATTAATCATTTTTTCTTCACTGACTGGTTAATTAATGCATTATGTCTTCAGTTATGTTAATGTGATATTTATATAGTTTATAAAATCAAGGCTACGTATGCATTGATGTAAAATAAATAAGTACACTAACTTTAATGGCGTATAAAGCTATAATAATAGAAACAATTATTTATGAACGCAAAAAATCGGGGAAGAACATAGACGTTTCGTGTCAGCGAACCTATTTTGTACATCTCAGTAAATACCCGGTTTGGACTCGTTGGCTTGTATATTTTGTCTATTATCGTCACGCTGCTTATTGTTTCTCTAATCGTTGTTGCGATCATTGTTGTTGTGATAATTGGTGTGGTTAATTCATGTTTCTTTTAATTCTTTTTTTCATTAATGATAGGTAGAATAGGTTTAAACCGGACCAATACTGAAAGATTTTTCGTAGATTAGGAAAAACAGTCTTTTTGTATTATCACAACATTTTTTAAAATTAAGATATTATTTATTTCGATAAAGATAAAGTTCCCGAAGAATTGTCCGATGAAGAGGGATACATTGAAAGAAATTTTTGAACGAGAATCTAATGAACCTGAACCACAATCAAGGCTGTTCACAGCCTGTAAACAGTCTGTAATAAAAGGTAAAAATAATTTCAAGTGGTCTTGAACAGCATCATCATCACCACACATCTGTGGGCGGCTTTTATCGCACAGACTATAAAAGCTGAAAAATTTGTTGTTTTCTGAATTTAATACAAATCCAATCATCTACGTGAAAGATTTATAATCACTACAAAACAGATTTAAATAAAATAAAATTTAGCTGTATTATAGCTATACTTTTATGATTAGACATAAAAAGAATATTTCTGACGATTATCTTTGTTATATTTGTAACTATATCCCTAAGGCAATACATAACGACGCTGTAACGACGAGGATGTGTTTGTGTTCTCTGCATCGTAAAAATACTGCTTCTGGCGTTGTTTAGAGAAATGGTACCTTGTTATATTTTCTTTTTTTACATAAGAAAAGTGTTTAGAGTGTTTAAATATATTTTTTTTAATTTTAAAAGTAAATATATTATAACTATGCCATAATTAATTATATTTTAAGAATTCTTTTAATAATAATAATTATATCTTTGGCATAACACGTAACTGCATTTGTTTACATTTACAGTTGACTAGTTTACTAGTACCAAAAAATAATGTATTAGTACATCATGTACTACAAAAGAAAAGTACCTATTCACAACACTACTTCTTTCTTCCATTCTTTGATTTGCAGACAAAACGTGATTTATATTCTTAGGAATTGTCATCCATAATCCAAAAAGCACTCATTATTTATAGTAATGGCTGTAAATATCAGAACTGAAATCACAGTATAGATATCAAAATTTTTTAGGTATGCATTGTAGTATTCAGAGAAAGTTGAAGGGAAGGATTATTTATCTAATATCATTCTTGTAAATCGCCAAAACCACACATTGTAAGTTACCTTGACCATAGTTTTTTCAAAACGTAATCAATTTGGCATTTGTTTCTACTATTTCTGCAAATTGTTCATAAAAAATGTATTTAAAGGATTCTCATACTTTTTCCCTGTTTCATGTATTGTTCACTTTGAAATATAGAACAACTTTGGTATGGAGTATTTTCACATGGATTCCTATCCTGTAATTCCCGTTATTTTTAACAATAATAAAATAAAAAAATCCTAATTCCATTTTTATGTGAAAAATGATTTATGTGTTTACGAAAAGCGACAAAATATCAAAGAAACCTATTTGAAATTATACAAAGAATGTTCGTGTAAAATTATGTATGTACTCAGCTCAGGCACTTGTTAGATATAAAATTTCACAAAATTGAGTTGCGGGGTTTTATTAAACATTTTGTACTTTAAATCCGTTAAATTGGTAATAATCATTGTTGGGTTAAAATCGTTTATGGATAATGTTGTGTTGGATCATTATCAACAATTTTCTTTCAGTACATTATTTCGTTGCAATTTTAGTTTTCAAGTTATAACAATTTTTTGTATCCAAAAACATCAATTTCAAGATTTGGCAATTTTGTGGTCTATTACTAGAAATATGAAATAATTAGAAAAAAATCATTTATGGATTATGTCTTTGTGATATATTATGAACAATTTTTATTAATATTATTCTCATCCATAGTTTTTAATTTTCAAGATATAAACCATGTTGTTAAACATATTAAATTTGAAATACTTCGTACTTTAAATCCGTTAGGTTGGTAATAATCATAGTTCGGTTAAAATCGTTTATGGATAATGTTGTATTGGTTCATTATCAACAATTTTCTTCTAGTACATTATTTCGTTGCAATTTTAGTTTTCAAGTTATAACAATTTTTTGTATCCAAAAACATCAATTTTAAGATTTGGCAATTTTGTGGTCTATTACTAGGAATATGAAATAATTAGAAAAAAACAGTTTATGGATTATGTCTTTGTGATATATTAGGAACAATTTTTATTAATATTATTCTCATCCATAATTTTTAATTTTCAAGATATAAACCATGTTGTTAAACATATTAAATTTGAAATACTTCGTACTTTAAATCCGTTAGGTTGGTAATAATCATAGTTCGGTTTAAATCGTTTATGGATAATGTTGTGTTGGTTTATTATAAACAATTTTCTTCTAGTACATTATTTCGTTGCAATTTTAGTTTTCAAGTTATAACAATTTTTTGTATCCAAAAACATCAATTTTAAGATTTGGCAATTTTGTGGTCTATTACTAGAAATACGAAATAATTAGAAAAAAATCATTTATGGATTATGTCTTTGTGATATATTATGAACAATTTTTATTAATATTATTCTCATCCATAATTTTTAATTTTCAAGATATAAACCATGTTGTTAAACATATTAAATTTGAAATACTTGGTACTTTAAATCCGTTAGGTTGGTAATAATCATAGTTCGGTTTAAATCGTTTATGGATAATCTTGTGGTGGTTCATTATAAACAATTTTCTTCTAGTACATTATTTCCTTGCACTTTTAGTTTTCAAGTTATACCAATTTTTTATATCCATAAACATCAATTTAAAGATTTGTAAAACCACAATTAAATTTTGTGGTTTATTACTAGGAATACGACATAATTAGAAAGAAATCGTTTATGGATTATATCTTTGTAATATATTATCAACAATTTTTAATAATATTATTCTCCTCCACAGTTTTTAATTTACAAGATATAAACCATGTTGTTCTTAATCGTATTAAATTTCAAATATTTTGTACTTTAACTCCGTTAGGTTGGTAATAATCATAGTTGGGTTGAAATCGTTTATGGATAATGTTGTGGTGATTCATTATAAACAATTTTCTTCCAGTACATTATTTCCTTGCAGTTTTAGTTTTCGAGTTATAACAACTTTTTGTATCCAAACACATCAATTTAAAGATTTGGAAAACCACAATTTAATTTTGTGGTCTATTACTAGAAATACGAAATAATTAGAAAAAATCGTTTATGGATTATATCTTTGTAATATATTATCAACAATTTTTAATAATATTATTCTCATCCATAGTTTTTAATTTTCAAGATATAAATGTTGTTGTTAAACATATTAAATTTCAAATATTTCGTACTTTAAATCCGCTAGGTTGGTAATAATCATAGTTGGGTTCAAATCGTTTATAGATAATGTTGTGTTGGTTCATTATAAACAATTTTTTTCCAGTACATTATTTCCTTGCAGTTTTAGTTTTCAAGTTACAACAATTTTTTGTGTCCAAAAACATCAGTTTAAAGATTTGGCATTTTTTTGTAATAAGTCATCTTGGTAATTTCATCAGTACGTTGGATACTTTTAGCTTTGTTAATTTTCTGAATATTTTCTTTTGATTTAAATTTTTTTATCTTGTAATGTCTCATGAAAAGAAATAAATTGGATCGATAAGATTAAGCATTTTAAAAGTAGTTGAAACCGAACAAATCGGATTAGTTAGAGAGGTTTTCGTTGGTTTTTTAGCTTAAGGGGCAGGCGAGCAACGAGTGTGCGAACAATGTGTTTATGCAAATGAGCAAAGAAATGAGAACGCAAAAGAAGAGAGGTGGATACAGTGTTTGCCGGGAGGAAACCTTTGAAAAACCGGAACAGAACGCGTCATCGGCACGCCGGGACTCCCGAGAACGGGCACCAGCCTCTCCACCGCATAGGCACACGCTTGGGGGGCACTCCGAACTCCGCCCGCGCGCATATATATATTACAACACTCCCAACATTATCGTCAGAATTCAAATTACAACACACGGCGAAACTCTCAGTTTAGCGACTTTGTGAAAGTGGTGTGAAATTAATTTATTAAAAAAAGTTATACTTAATTATTCTTATTTAAATTTTGTGCGTTATTTTTATAAATCATGGATGTGGAAGAATTTCGTGTTCGCGGAAAACAGATGGTTGATTACATCTGTACGTATTTAAGGGATTTGAAAGATATGAGAGTAACACCGAATGTTGAACCCGGATATTTAAGAAATCTCTTACCGGCCGAAGCTCCGCACGAACCAGAAAATTGGGACCAAATCATGGATGATGTTGATACGAAAATCATGCCTGGAGTAACTCACTGGCAACATCCACATTTCCACGCTTATTTTCCATCAGGAAATTCATTTCCTTCGATTTTGGGTGATATGTTATCAGATGCTATTGGATGTATTGGATTTTCTTGGGTAAATATCTAAATCAAAAAAATTAATTTGAATGAAATTTTTTTTTAAATTAATTAACTAACCTTTACTTTTATGTATTAATTTTAGGCTGCCAGTCCATCTTGTACAGAATTAGAAACAATCGTCGTCGATTGGTATGGAAGAGCAATTGGTCTTCCATCAAACTTCATCACATCAGCTCCAAATAGCACAGGAGGAGGTGTCATTCAATCATCTGCAAGCGAATGTGTTTTAGTGAGCATGTTAGCCGCAAGAAACGTAGCTATTAATTATTTAAAGAAAAATAACCCGCACTTAGACGATAGCGTTTTCTTACCAAAACTAGTCGCGTATTGTTCAAAAGAAGCTCACTCTTGCGTCGAAAAAGCTGCAAAAATCCTCTTAGTAAAATTACGCGTTTTAGAGCCAGATGAAAACGGGAGTTTACGCGGCGATTCTTTAAAAAAAGCTATCAGAGAAGATGAAGTTATCGGATTAACACCGTTTTTCGTATCTTCAACTTTAGGTTCGACCGGAAGTTGTTCTTTCGATAACTTACTTGAAATAGGACCGATTTGTCGTAACCAACCGTGTACTTGGTTACACGTTGATGCAGCTTACGCCGGAAGTGCTTTCATCTGCCCCGAATTAAAACCGTTAATGGCCGGAATTGAATTTGCAGATTCTTTTAACACAAACGCAAATAAATGGCTTTTAGTTAATTTTGATTGTTCGGTTCTTTGGGTTAAAGACCGGTTGAAATTAACGGGAGCTTTAGTTGTTGATCCGCTTTATTTGCAACATGCGAATTCTGATGAAGCGATCGATTATCGTCATTGGGGTATTCCTTTAAGTAGGCGATTTAGATCGTTGAAATTGTGGTTTGTAATGAGAAAATATGGTATATCTGGTTTGCAAAATTACATAAGAAACCACATTAGATTATCAAAATATTTTGCTTCGCTTGTCCGACACGATAAAAGATTCGAAGTGGTTAATGACGTACGGTTAGGATTGGTTTGTTTCCGTTTATACGGACCGGATGCGGTAAATAGAACTCTTTTAGCGACAATAAATTCGTCGGGAAAACTGCATATGATCCCATCGATGGTGAAAGGAAAATATATTTTAAGATTTTGTGTCGTTGCCGAACACGCTAAAGATTGTGATGTTGAACACGCTTGGGATGTAATTAGAAAATGTGCCGATGATGTTATAGGTTCTTTAGAGAAACCGTTAACACCGGAAGCCGTGGTCAGACCGCCACTTACCCGGCAAAAATCAAGAAGATTCTCGTTCACAAGAAGTGTATCGAGAGAAATTTATAAACGCTCGATGAGTAAAAGCAATTTATACGATGGAGCTACACCTATTTTAATACCAGACGATGAAACTGATAGCCCACCGAGTGATTCAAATGGATCAGAAAGCAGTTCTTGTAAAACTCCCATATTGTCGTGTAATTTAAATGGAAAAATTGCTGGTCTTAGTTTCGATGATGAATTTGACGATGACGTTTTTGCACACGAAGTAATTAATAAGGAAACTATAAAAACTCAGTGATAATGTGTAAATAAATCATTTTGTTTATATTCTTTCTCTGCAATAATTTGGTTGCACGTGTTTTTCCTCAGTATTATTAGAATCGTAAGCTACACTGCTAACCGTTTTTACAAACCTAGTTATTTAAGAAATGTACCTACATAACTATTTATTGTGTAATTGTTCTCGTACTCGGTAAAGTACCTTGCAAGTGTTTGTCACGATGCGATGTGTATGTGTATAAAAAATTATTGAAAAAAACAAGCGTAAATAAAAAATATTTTCTTAAGATGGTTTTTCCGTTTTTTTTTATTTTCTTTAACACAAAATAACATATTTTCTTTATTCCATCGTGAGGTATTTTAAGAAACATATGCAAAATTTGTTTTTTAAAGAGTATATCGCAAATAGACTTAAATAATTAATTAAGCCTTTTTTAAGGTTTATTTATTTAAAGTTTGTAGCGTGTAATGGAGTGTTTAGATATTTGAAGTCTAAAAATACTTTGTTATTTTTCTGCAACATACGAAAAATTAAACGTTTAATTTATTTTATCCGCATAAAATTTACCACGGATAAGTTAATGACAAGATGTAAGTTTTGCATATCTGTAAAACATTCTTAATTTACAATTTTACTCAACAAAACGTGTACAAAACGAGTTGATACCATTTTAAAGTTAACAACTTTTGTTGCTAATAAATGGCAAACTTTTTTTTATCTTGATTTATAACTCCAAAGTTTATTTAGTAAATCTTGATATTAACCTCGAATTCCAACCAGCTCATCTGATTAACCGTAACTGCCCACTACCTTTACTGAACACACTTTAACGAAGAGGAAGAAGCATAGCATCGCCTAAGGTAAACCAGACTCGGCAGGAAGAGCAACCCCAAAAACATAACGGGCTAAACAATGCGCATCCTAAAAGTTATCTTTATGAAAGGTGTAAACTTGGTAGGAAAATTTTGTGAATAATTTGTTAATTTATAAATTATAACATACCTTTTATCTGCTTTTCGATAGTCTATGTAGTCTAGACTAATTTCATTGGTTGAAGAAAATTATGGCGCTACTTTCATCCATAGAGGCCATAAAGTTAAGTGTAATCATTGAAGCTGACTCTCTCATTATGTCAAGTGTTGTCAAAATTTGGATTCTGACGTGTGACGTAGCCCTTAAATTCAAGGCCGTTTTCAAGAAATCTTAAGATTGTAAAAGAAGATGACAAGTTAAAAGTGAGCAGATATAAAAAGTGCAACCTAAAACAAATAAATGACCTTATTGAAGAGGATATACGTAGAGGTGGTATATAAAGCGTTCACAACGTAGGCAGTCTAACCTGCTTTGTAAAGCCTTTTATCTACAACTATTGAATTATCTATTCATTATACATTTGATTTTTGACGGGTAATGACACGCATTACTCATGACTGACAGTGTTGAATAATGAAGCCATTATTCCACAGTTCTGACACGGCCTACCAATCAAAAAATAAAATATAACAGAAATGACAGCTTTCTTATATTGAGGTTATGTCTGAAATGTCTATCAAGTTTATTTTTTTTCCTTTTTTTGATTTTTTTTTTCAAAATTAAATAGTTGTAGATAAAGTATAGTATTCAACTTGCGTATAATGGATGTTACCCACTCAAATTGCAACTTCATCTTCGTGGGTAACAGCCGCCATTATACGCTTGTTGAATAACATACTATTACATAGCTGTTATTCATCATGTAATAATGTTATCCAAGAATCCTGGGTATGACTCTGACATGAAATTTTTAAACGGGTGGTACCGTACCCCAAGCTGTCATCTCGCCAAGGAATTGTTAAAATATCCTTCAGCCGCAACAGCCCAGTTCTTTCCTAGGGCTCGGTAAAAGTGCCCTTCGCACTGCCACAGGTCTCCTCACGGGACACTGTAAGGTAAATAAGTACCTTCAAAACATGAAGCTTGCTGACTTCCTTCTGTCGAGCCTGTCAACAGGATGACGGGACGGTTAAACACATCTTGTGTGATTGCCCCTCTCTGACCGACCTCAGAATAAGGACCTTCCAGGAGGAATGGCCAACCACAGATGACATCAGGAATGCACCTCTAGGAACTGTCCTAGCCTTTGGCAAATCCTTAGGCTGGTTGATGTGACCAGAGTATGTAATGGGAGGATGCACAAGGGGCCCAATGAGGCCTAAGTGTGGCATGCGGTTTTGCATGCAGTCCCCAATTCATACATACATGTATATCAAACAGCAGCAACCGTTTTGCTTGATTTTAAAACTAGTAGTAAAAGAGGCTGTGTTCATCACAACAAATGCACAAAAAAAAACTTCTTTTCATGAATGTTCAGCCTTACAGTCGATTTTGCTGGTTATCCTGGCAAAAAAGGCTTCTTTTCTATTTTTCTAACAAAATTTCACATGTTTTCGCTCTTCCATGTGTGTCTTATTCGTCCTGCAATTCTTCCTCTTCAATTTCTTTGGATGGTCTTTCATGAGTTTTGTCTTCGACATTCACGACAAATTCTTTCGGACAAGGCATGATCACCATAGGCTTCTGTGGGCATTTGATGAGCGTCGACGGCGGTTTTCTTTATATTAAACATGAAAGGTAAAGCCTCCTTCAAATTGCGCTTTCCGGGTACAAACCTCGTCATCTCCATAGCTCTATAAAAACCGTTATATTTAAATATATATACAAAAATATATGAATAGATAGGGTTTTTAATGAATTTTCAAACAAAATAAAATTTGTAATACAATATAAAATAATCAAACGGCGGCAGATACATGAAGATATGTCTTCGTTGGAGTATTCATTCGTAGCAAGATTGTGCCTTTGAAGTTTCATGTTATTTCGATACTTATTAGTTATTTTCAATGTCCTATACTGCACAAACCATTTTCAACTGTGAGAAAACATCAATTTTCAAGAATCTGTCGTTTGCGGCTAAAACCATTAGTCTGTTTTTTCTTTACGTGAAATAAAATTAATAACTGAAGTCGTATTTTGGGGTTAGCCCTGACAATATATGATAATTCTAGACTATAGTTTTTGCAAAAAGGTAAACGATTAAGTCAAAATGAAAAATAATTGGAATTGCCAATATCATTTGCATATAGCTCAAATTACTTAAAACAATTAAACAATGAAAATTCGTAGAGCTCCACTAGTTCAAGAAAAATAATTGATGAGACTCTTATTAGGAAAGTAATAGTCTTACTATTACTCATGGATTTATCCATGTCGACTTTGAATTGGTACACCCCAACATGACAGCAAAGATCTTAAACAACTTCGTCTTTTATGTTTCTTTAGACACCAGGCTATCAGAAATATTATCCGATCTGTTTCCCATCATATCATCAAGGCTAATAAATGACAAATCGTAATAGACGCTACCATTTTCATTAGTTCTACAGAATGGGGAAAGCACAGTCTTAAGGTGCTATGAAAATAATTGACCATTAACTTTTCTCTGTGGACAAACATTTTTTGAAATAGATATCGGGGATACATTTCTGTCATATCTTATTAATATGCTTTCGCATAGATTACAGATGATATGCTATCGTAATAACTGCTCTATAGAGTAAGTTATAAGTTCAACCTAACCCAACCCAATCTTTCCCTTCCTCTCAACATGTTAAATACTTAGCAATATTGAATATTTTTAATTTATTTACATGATGTCAAGTACGTTCACTCTGCAGATATAGAGTGCATATTTCTGCACTTATCAGCATTCCATTTTATGGCTTCCAATGTATGTTCGACTGATGGCACCGAAGGCATTCTTTTTTGTTTCAATATCGTCCACTTGCACTTGTTGGGCAAGTGTATACTTGTCTAAGTATATAATAGAGCAAACCCCATCTCGATGTTGTTGGAATACATAGTTATAGCCATCCACCTACAAGGTCGCTGATAAGTATGGAAATGGTTCATTATAATCTAATACAATAAAGAAAAGTTAAGTACAGAAATATACCCAAAAGGTCATCGAAAAATAAAGCTAAGTGTTTTTTAGTAAAACACAAGTTTGTGCACAATACTTAAGTTATTTGCGAAATTGTAAAGAATTAATTGAAGATTAACAACATTTGAAGTCCATCGATAGCTGATATTAAAGATCATTATTACCATTATAATGATAATAAAGGCTTATACCACATTTTATAAAATTAACTCAATTTAAAGCTTTGATTACGATTTTGTTGTGATACCACATACCCAAAACATTACCGCAGCTGATTGCGTTTATGAGTTATCGTATTACATTCGGACAGAAATAATGCTAAAAATAGCCGAAATGAATTAAAGTATGTAAACACGATAAATCAAATACACAATTAGCAAGGTGATGAAATTTTGTATATGACAATTAGATCAAAATCATGGATGTGTATCAATTTATGTACACATTGAAACTTTTCCATATAACCTTGCACTTGAAATAAAGAAATACTGTTAATATGTTGAATGAGATTCTAATTATGAAAAACATATAAAATATGAGTGAACCCTAGCGTACACTTTTCAAAAACATTGTCATAATCACTTGCAAAATAAGTGCTTAGAGTTGTCATCATTTATAAACTCTTGGACATCGATGTAGAATCGACATTCTTTTATGTTAGAAATGTAGTATTTTTCTTTCAATAACCTATACATATTAATAAATGAGCTAAATGAGTGAGTAGTCTCAAGGTTTACAAGAAATAACATAAATAAATATAGATCTTCAGAATGATTAATTTACATCTAATTTAGTTCATAAAAATATTTTGAATACAAGAAAAATAACATCCTGGTAATTTTTTTTATCAAATAACATTAATCAAAACATAAAGAATAGCCAATTAATTCACTTCAATTCCGAAGCTATTAATTAAAGCATAAAAAAGCAACATGTAAATCCAACAGAAATTAATCACACAAAAATTTTAATGATTGTAAAATACACAAAGTTCCTTGATAGTAATTTTCTTTAAGATTTAACTTGCAAAAATTAATCATTTTATGATGGATATTGAAGATTTTCGTATTTACGGGAAACAAATGGTTGATTACATCTGCAAGTATTTGGGCGATTTGGAAGAAAAAAGAGTTACGTCAAACGTTGAACCCGGATATTTAACGAAATTGTTACCAAACGAGGCACCTTTCGACCCGGAAGATTGGGAACAAATCAAGGCCGATATCGATTCGAAAATCATGCCAGGAATTACTCATTGGCAACATCCGCATTTTCACGCTTATTTCCCATCAGGAAATTCATTTCCATCGATTTTAGGTGATATGTTAGCGGATGCAATAGGTTGTATTGGATTTTCTTGGGTAAATAATTATTTTTTCGCACAACTATAAAAAAAAGCTTTCTTCACAGAGTACTTGCAATATCAAAAAGTTTATTTTAAAATTAGTGGGTGGTAAAAATTTGGTTGCTGAGGTAAACATATGTTGATAAGACATATTAAAACATTAAACCGAAAGCATTTAATAGAAATAATCAAAACGCCGATTTAAATCGTGTTTATAAAGATTAATAAATTAGAGTCATAGGAAGAAGTTAAAATCGTTTGTGGTTTCTAAAATTGTTTACATTTTATAATAACCGAGTTTACAATATTATCTACATATATTATAAACACAATAGAATTACAAAATTTTATGATGATGTTAAATATAACAACACATGAGTTTTGAAAGATGTATTTAACAGTTATTAGATTATATTTTAGGATAATAAATGCGATTTTTAAAAAGATTCATTCATTCTGTCGCTAAATAAGGTGTCTCCATCTATCGAGAACAAAAGCTTTTATGTTCCTTGTTAGTCGATGTCGTTTTCTAGGTAAGGAATATAGTGACATTCTTGGTTGTGTTACTTTAGTGGTTAGACTAAGTCTAGCTTATACTAGAGGGTGTAACAGGGTTCAATAAAGGTAAATAATTTTTGCAGATTTCAAACCACATTCAATTACATTTGTTTCCGACATTTTATTATCAAAATTTTGGTAAATATTAATAATTCTTTGAACTAAATTTAGAATCTTAGCTTTTATTTTATAAAGTTCAATTAAGATCAATTATTTACTTAAAAAACGAGAATAGGACGTTTTACTTACAAAATTAAAGACCAGGACACCAAAATTAATGTTTTTCTGTATGGTTTTGCTCTATGTTTATATGATGTTTCTTGTTGCAACTATAAAGTCACTTACTTGTACTAAATATAATAAATAACAATTGCATTTTTCTCAGTTTTGTACATGCAGTGAAAGTGCCCTATAAAATATTAATTACAAAAATTTAGGCTCTGGCAGAAAAGATATACCCTTATTATACTCACTTCCTATTCAAGCAACACTTTGTTATGCAATTGACTAATAGTTATTTGTTGCCCAAATTCTACTTATGCCAGGCTGACTATCTTAAAAAAGAATCTTCAATATTAGATAGATAAATCCTGTTCCGCCAACTGCTCTTTTAAGCAGCTCCATCCAGACAGGTTGTATTAACTTTTCCAAGAGTAAATATAAATATAGTACAACATCAATAATTTGAGACCGTTTCATACAAGATTTTGTGGAAGCTTTTAATTAGTTCAAAATCAATGTGTAATAATTCAACATCTGATGTAGAATATTTCTGGCTGTTAGACTTGTCACCATTAGAGGACACAATCTTTTAGTTAGTCTAGATCCACGTCACGATTGCGTTCATGTCTGGCGACAGACCACACACTACTGTGTAGCATTTCGTGCTATGTAGCAAATATTATTTCCCACTAAAATATGGAGCATCCATCTTGACTTTTGTGTCTGCACGTCCATGATAAGCATTTCTAGCATAAATTCCAACTGCCGTCGACGAACACCGTCCTAGTTCCATTACATTGATTTATCATGACTATATATTTTGCCATTGAAGGCGGATACAAGTTTATAGTTCTTAATATCTAGCTTCAATAAGCTCTAATAGTCTTTCTTCGATCACCAGTGTTGGACAAGGGGAATTACATCTTGATACTTTTTTTTGATATAAAGATGAACAAAAATTAATTTTAAATTTTCCTTTAAACAAACGACATTGCCATAAAGACTGTTGGCTTAAATTATCATATTTTGGTATTCGGTAGTTTTCCATTTCCTAAAACAAATTTGATGCTTTACAACTATAAATATACATATATCATCAAAATCTGACCTTGAAAAACCTACCAGACCCAACCAAATTTTCACCACCCCCGTTATAATATAAAACTACTTCCTGTAAAAACACTATTTAAAAAAAAATATCAAAAAATAATACCAATGTACTCCAAAATCATATTTCTTTTTAGGCTGCCAGTCCAGCTTGTACAGAATTAGAAACAATAGTACTCGATTGGTATGGAAAAGCAATTGGACTTCCATCAAATTTTATAACATCGCAACCAAATAGTAAAGGTGGTGGTGTGATTGAATCATCAGCTAGTGAATGCGTTTTAGTAACAATGTTAGCAGCAAGAAATGCAGCTATAAATTATTTAAAAAAAGAAAATACCCAATTAGATGATAGTATTTTTTTACCAAAATTAATAGCGTATTGTTCAAAAGAAGCACATTCTTGCGTCGAAAAAGCTGCAAAAATCCTCTTAGTAAAATTACGAGAATTAGAACCGGATGAAAATGGAAGCTTACGTGGTGAAGCCCTACAAAATGCGATCGAAGAAGATGAAGCGAACGGATTAACTCCGTTTTTTGTTTCTGCAACATTAGGATCGACCGGAAGTTGTGCTTTTGATAATATAGAAGAGTTAGGAAGGCTTTGCGTAACGCAATCTTGTACATGGTTACACGTAGATGCAGCATACGCCGGAAGTGCTTTTATTTGCCCCGAATTAAAATATTTAATGTCCGGAATTGAATACGCGGATTCTTTTAATGCAAACCCGAACAAGTTTTTACTGGTTAATTTTGATTGTTCGGTACTTTGGGTTAAAAATCGTTTAAAATTAACGACAGCTTTAATTGTGGACCCCCTTTATTTACAACATGCGAATTCAAACCAAGCGATTGATTATCGACATTGGGGAATCTCTTTAAGTAGACGATTTCGATCATTAAAGTTATGGTTTGTTATGAGAAAATATGGAATATCCGGTTTACAAAATTATATTAGGAACCATATTAAATTAGCTACGTATTTCGCTTCTTTGGTAAGAAATGACAAAAGATTTGAAGTGATGAACGATGTTGTATTGGGCTTGGTTTGTTTGAGATTAATCGCACCGGATGCGATAAATCGGAATCTTTTAGCGAAGATAAATTTGTCGGGACATCTTCATATGATTCCTTCATGTGTTAGAGGTAAATTCGTTTTGAGATTTTGCGTAGTTTCTGAACGTGCTAAAAATAAAGATATGGATTACGCTTGGAGTGTTATTAAAAAATTCGCTGATGAAGTAATGAGTTCGTTAGATATTCCGTTAACGTCATTATCCGAATCAAAAGCGAAAAGATTTTCTTTTACTCGCAGCGTAAGTTGGGATATTTATAAAAAATCGTTAAGGAAAGGTAGTTTATACGATGGTGCTACTCCAATTTTGGTACCAGATGATGAGGAGATGGAATCTTAAGGATTCTTAGATGAAACATTTTCTCTCATTTAAAGTAAATTATATTATTGGAAATGGTACAGTCTTAAGATGAACGTAAAAGTTGATTAAACCTATTTAAATACACCTACGAATTTTTTCTTTTGAATTTGCGTAAACTGGTTTGTACATGCTTTTTACAACTTAAAAACTAATAAACGTAATACTGACTATTTTCTCGGATTTAATTCCGCCTCATCTCATTATTTCATCTTTTTTTTATCACATTTGTATTTTATGATATGTTATTGGTAAACACTTATTTATTACCAATACTACTAAAATATCTAAAATAAATTAATTTACAAAAACCAAATTGCAAAAGATTCACACAATTAAATTACATTTTCTATTATCTCTTTACCAAATATCATCATAATCGTCTGGCTCCATTAAAATTTCATAACAATTCGTATAATCCCTGAGCGATTTCTTAGTGTCATCATCGACAAGCATGTCCATAACGAGCACTTTTCGACAATTATTCGGCGGTATCGCAACGGGCGGAATAATCTCGCCGTTGTTTTCAACTAACGGCTGCATTTTGTATTGATCCGGAGGTTCGATTACTTCGAAAGCATCCGTGGCCACGTTCCACGTGAACATAACGATCGAAATGAACATTTCCGGTTTTGAATAGGCTACGTTGGTACGTAGGGCACTTATTTTTATCACAGCCTGGCAAACAATATGTCCATCAATTGGACAAATCTACAAAAAAAATACATTAATCATTAGAATTTAATCACAATCCAATAAAATTATTTACGTGTAATAATTTAACGTCGTAATCCTCGCAATATAGAAATTGTAAATGACGATCCGAACAGAGTTTTTGGGCTCTTCTTTGAACAAATTGTTCGCAGTCGAAGGTTCGTTGAGTTATTATCAGTTGGGTTTCAGGTACTGAATCGTATTGCAATTCAGAGAAATTTTGAACTAATAATGGAATTTCTATCGGCATATTAAAATCATCTGTTTTAAATAATAAAAAAATATTAATTCAATTAGAAATATAAATTAGTCCAATTCATATCCAAGCAGACAGTAAAAACAAAAAATCATCATTTTTTATTTTCCTGGAATTATAATATGTGAAACTAAGAAGTACTCAATGAGTACTGGAATTTTATTTATTAAGTTTAAATATGTACGGTGCTAAAATTGCTCCTTAAATATTGAAGAAAAACATTGTCTTCAATAAAAATTTTGTATTAGGTGAAAGAAGTAAATTTACTATTTTATTAATGATAATTTCATTTTTTTCCTCATTGTAGTATAACAAACCTACCACAATATAATTTTAATCACTTCTAATACAGCGAAAATGATGACGATTCCAATAAGAATGTTTGGCCAAAATTCACAAATATCCAAGATATGAATCATGTGAGATAAGCAACTCTTGCACGCTTTTATTTCCTCCTATTGGTAGTATACAAAAAGTATTAGAATCTACCTAAAGATGTTGGTGGATCTGCGTGATACGTTAAGACCGAAAAAGAGAATATTAGAATTATATTTCAATATTTGTGAGAATGTCAGGAAAAGCCTACGAAATTGTAGTCAGGAAAAACAACAACGCATGCTGTATCCACTTCCAAAGTGATATCGATGTGGCTAAATTGTAGGTGAGTATTCAATCTTTATTGTATTGTTCGTGTCATGTTGTAACTTTTTGAAAATAGAAACCGGATAATCGAAAACCACGGATAATACAACCTGACGGTTTTAAAATTATTAAAATACGAATGTTCAATTTTTGTTCTAACAAAAGGTTACAGAATTGTATAATGAAAGAAATAAACTGGTGTAAAATAACCTTCTAAAGTAAATAATAATAATAAACTAGTTATTTTTGATACAAGATAGCGAAATGACACTTTTGCATTCGAGAACGAATGTTAATATCATCTTGCTGTTCCATAAAATTTAAAAAGTGTCAGCACCCTAGTGCTTTCTTGCAGCTGGCTTTAGATTGTGGATCTAAGTTGTCATCGTCACTACATTCTTGGAGTGAACTCGGTTTAGAGAATGGTTTGGTAACACCATCGACCAGATCATCGTCGTGGATATGTTCACAGTTCAAAATATTCCAGTCAATATTTAGCCATTCCAGAATATTTTCATCATCCAGTTCCTCACAGCCCTGAACATTTTTTTACGACTGAAACACATCTAAAGGTTCATCACTATCAATTTCATGTCCTTCAGCTGATTCATGGCATAAAATATTGTTAAAACATTTTTCAATTGTGGTAGCTTTCACATTTTCCCAGGCATACGATATGTTGTATACAGCATCTCGAAGCGTAATTGATTTCCAATGGAGCATTGTTGTCTTTTGCGACCAGATCCATCATTAATTTTTTTCTCTACAACCTCTTCATTGTTTCAATTACGCCCTGATCTATGGGTTGAATTAGGACGATCACATTTGGCGGAAGATACAAAACTATGATATTCCCGTTCTTAGCTGACAACGCTTCAATTGACGGATGAAATGGCGCATCATCAAGAAGCAATACTGCTTTTTGATGAAGACCTTTGCCGTCCATACATTTTTTACGTGTAGAACAAATTTATTTTTAAACATCACAACCACGGTTAATTCGAACCCCGGTTAAATGGTTCACGGATAATCGGCACTTTACTGTAATATTAAAATATGTTCTCGTAGTTGTAGACCGAAAATCGAGTTTGTATCGATACTGTAGCCTAGAGTGTGGCAGGAACATGATCCGAATCTATATTCCCGAATTATTATATTATGAACACCCCCTTAAAACAAAATAAGTAAAAGCAGCAATAACGAACGATTCTTTTTAAGAATAAGCACATTAGAAACATATTTTGAATACAATGAACATGGTATTCATTCAATAACATGGTATTCATCATAACTGATATAATGATTTTTGACTCGAGAAATAGATTGCTCAGCAATGACGTGTATTCAAGTATATTGTGGGCAAAATATATATGTAGTACGACCATAATGAGTTGCAATAAATAATTTTTTATACCAACCAATGGTCTTTCGTTCAAATGGGTATTACGCTTGCATCTGATCTTGATGATCAATACCAGACATGTATCTGTTATATTAGTTTTGATATCTCTTGACCTCTCTTATTTCTCAGTGCAACAAATGCTTGTCCTTCCATTTTCCTACTTGGACACACCCTTTGAATAATGATATGTTTTCTCCATTTTAAGTTTTCTGTTATTTTATATTCCCACGAAGATTTACAGAAAATTAATGTTCCAGTAGAATAAATTTCGTTTTCTAAAAGTGTTTTTGCAAATTGGTAACTATTATAGTATTTATACATGATCTTAAATTAACATATCTTTCATCAACTTCATTACAACTTTAGAAGCGTGCCCCGTTCCACTTATTTCTGCATCATGCAATTTATCTACACTGTTGTGTAGTTTAATGTCATATTTATGGTGTTTGTTTTTGATGTACTGTCTAAATAACAAGTCTTATTTTGCGCAATACGTCACAAGGTGTAATATCATCTTCTGGTTGAGAAGAAAAATAAAGACATCTTAGTATTAAAAGAAATCGGTTTTTACTAATTTTTTTTAGCCATTTTCTCATATTATTAGAGGAGAAAGAATTATCTGATTATTTATCAAAAACAATGTTCTACTATTTGTGGCTTAATATTTGGATGCTATTTTTCATCAGATTCCGAAGATAAATCAGTAGGAATTAAACCCGATTCAGTTGATAAAATCTAATTCGACATCAGGAATGTCATAGTCTTTGTTTATTTTGTACATGTAGTTGTTTTGACCTAGACGGCACTGCCTTCATTTTTACACACAAAAATAATCCCTTAATTTTTACAATAATAATAAAATCAACACTAATTACTTAAATACAGTCTGAAATTTAATCACTAATCCACAACATTTCATTCATACAAACCAAGCAAACAACACGATCGTCTAATATGCCTATGCGAGAAATATGCCTGGCTTTGTTTAGCAAGTCGATGGCATGAACCGAACGACTCCGATCGGAGTCTGTATCAGCCAACATTATAAAAATTATACTCATTGTGCTGAGAGTAACATTACAGCAAAATCTTGAATTTTTCTGATGATTTGCTAAATAATGAAAAAGGTGAAATGTGATTCCTGCTTGTTTCTGTCACTTAAACTTTACTTCTACACATCCTGCTATTGTGTAACTCTTATATCTAACTTTGTATTAGAAGTTTGTACCACGTGGTTTGATGTTCACAGAGGAGGATTTGCAGGAATCAATGCATTACGGCGCTGTGAGTGAATAATTCAGTTACTCCTCGTTATCTCAATCATAAAACAGTGTTTTAGACATGATATAAATATATGGGAAAGCTCATTAGTTAGCATACCGGCCAGAACACATAACACAGTAATTCATACTAACAATAGATATGTTGAGTATCAACATAGGATATGGTAACTAGTACTGTTGTTGTCGACAGCTATAACAGATTCTCAAATTTAAAATAAGTTTACAGAGTAAAATTTCAAAAATTCCAACAATGTGGTTAAATGTGAAATCATACACAACAATACAACATTTTTAGACACAAAGCTTTTGAAATCCTAGAAGAGGACCCACCAAAAAGCCAATCAAATTCATTCTTTTTCTTCAATCTAAATTTTATGTTATTTATTGTCTTCTAGATAGTTATTGCATCACATTCTTTTCCAAACATATCCTGAACAGATTCATCTTTTAGCTATTTTATTATAGGAATTTGAAATTTTTCAGAAATTTCGGGATTGAACACAACTCCCTGGCGTCTCATTTGCATTTCAATGATAAATGCTTATTTATTATTTTTTATCGTAATAGGTGTCTTCTTTTTGTGTGTATTGAATTTTATTTTGGTTTAATTGTTCATTCTGACTCGGTTTAGTCTGCAAGTCCTCCCACAAAAATGTTATAACCAACAAAGAGATCTGCATATCTGCTTCGTTGATTTTGCAAAAGGCGGTCGACCGGTTGCGACATGACAAGCTTTTTGGGTTCTTGTAGGAGATCGGGAAGTACTGTGCGATGAATGATGTATAGGGCTGAGACTCACGCAAAGTGTTATGCATGGTCAACTCTGCTATACAAAGGAAAACTTGGACTTTGAAGACTGTCAGTATGAATCATATAGCATTCATACTGACAGAACAACGAGGAAGTGCTGAAAAGGTTGAACAAGGATCTTTACATAGTGAAGACGAGGAAGACAGCTTACCTTGGACATGTGTTAAGAAATGAAAAATACCAATTGTTGCAACTTATAATTCAGGGAAAGATAGAGGAGAAACGTGGACTTGGTAGAACTAGATAATTCCTAGGGTTTTTGTGTTATAATTTAGCATCGTTTGATATAATGAACAAGAATACCATCCCACATTCCTTTTCATAGTCAAAGCATATTTGGAACTCCACTTTCACAATACTTATCTAGTTTCAGAACTATGTACACCATTACTCACGATCAAGTATAATTTGAATATGAACTTTGTTCGTAATTTGCCAAACTTTTTAACAATATCTAATTAATTTTTTATTTATTGATTGTTTCATTCAGTTTGTTTAGTATTAAAGCAGCTTAATGTGCTTAAGCTATTATAAATTTTCAATATGAAAGAAAATTACAAATATTTAAATAAATAAAAAGTTAAAGTGCTACTTAAAATTAATAGACTTTGTAATATTGTCCTCCAAAATTAATTATATTCATCTGCTTATAATCACATATAAGCAGAATCCATAAAGGAACGTGTTTTATCTATACTTACCCAAAACTACAATAATTGAGATTTATAATCTCTATATTTCTCTGGTAAATGAAAAGATGGGCAACTAATTATTCGGATTTATTTAATCCCCTGCAACCAATCGCTTTTAGGTAGGTTTCCCTAGGTAGATGAAGCCATAGTTTATATTAATTGACTTATAACCATGTACCAACAAAACCCTTCAAACTAAAAAAAGATTCATCAATGTAATCATAATAATTGATGGAAATAATGATTATTTAAAAATTTTGAAAAATGTAATGATGGAAAATGGCACTACATACTCAACTTTAAGTATATATCATAATAGTTTCACATATTAAAATTTCAAGGAAATCAGAGATGATGATATCTACCACTCTGTCTATTTGGAGATGAATTGTATCATAAAAATAAATTTTAATTTACCTTTACTTTGTCCGGATACCAAAGAACTATTTTCAAAATAATCAACGCTTGTGTATCTTCGAACAGCTTTCTTAATAAATCTTGCAAAATCATCTTTACGATTACTGTCTACAATTAATAAACCTGATGAATGTTGTGGAATACGACTATCCATATAAATTCCAGGTTGTCTTAAAATCAACCTGGAGTCGGAATCGGAACAATCGCTGTCCAAACTGGGTGAATAAACGTAAAATTTTCTGGCCGAGTCTCTTGGGCTGATTGGAGATTTTGAGTAATGGGGGGAACTACGGAACTGTCCATGACGAGAATTTGGGGAAAGAATAGGAGATCGTAAACCTGGGGATCGAGGACTAAGAAATAACCCGTTATTCAAATCTGTTGATTTAAAAAATCGGCGTTCTCGACGTAATGAGTTGAACGGTACAATATTTTCAGAGTTATCTTCAGAAAATTCGTATTTTTTATCGGCTAATCGCTTCTTTCGAAACGAACTTAACTTTTCACACTTTTCATTTTCCTCGGTAAACTCGTACGCTTTTTCCGCAACTTTTTTATCAATAACTTTAGGTTTTTCATTTTTTATATTCGAACTTTGAAATCGTTTTACGCGCACATCAACTATATTATTTTGCACCAACGTGTTATGATAACTCTTACCTGTCACATTTAACGGTTCACAACTAATGTTTAATTCATGAAAAGGTCGATTACATTCAGAACTTTCTATATCATACTCATTGAAATCTTCTAATATAGCATCAATCGTACTGTTTGTACTAAAATTATCTATACTAATTTCGGAAGCTTCACTTGCATTATCAGCGAATGTATTCGTGGGGTTTTTATCGCATTCTTTTTCCAATACGGGCGGAATAAAATTAGGTTTTGGTGGTTCGGCACATTGCACATTTAATATGTGAATGTTCGCACCTGTATTTATCACAAAATGGTCTGGATACGCGAGGGAAATGTGTGGGTCAAACGGAGAATGTCCTTGAGTATAGGATTGGTTTAATGAGAAGGAGTAATGCATCATAAAACCATGGCGAAGACACCATCCTTGTTCAAATTTATCTAAAAAGAAAGTTATTTTTTATCCAAATACACTCAGTGGCATACAAAACGCATTACCTAAAATGAACTCAAACTGCTATAACTTTTGAAGGTATTGCTCGATTTGAATAAGGTTTTTTTTATTTGAAAGGTCTACCCTTTGCCAATATTTCTTTGCCATTTTGGCACTCTTTCATTTCGGCAATGGTGAATAACGATAATGACAAAAGAAATTAATTTTACTACTAGTCTCGTCTGTTCACTTCTGATCACTTCTGTTTTTTGTTCAAGTTAATGCAGCTTCTTCGGAAGCGCCATCAGAAATTAAAGCAAGCCATGAAAATTGACGAAAACATTTCAGTGACGTTTAGTGTCGTTAACGTCGTTGACTGTTGCTAAACAAGAAAAATGCTTTTAAGTCTTGCAGAAATTGCGCAAGCAGTGGCTTTGGTGGAAAATGGGCACTCGTTATGCTGCTCGTGTTCTTGGCGCGATATAGGGTACGGTTTGACGCGCCATTCAAAGATATCGCCAGTCTGCCACCTTCATCAGACGACATAGATTAGGAAGAAGACGCACCACAACCTAGTGATGATCGATATATTGTAACGACCGTGTTACGAAATCGACATACCACAATAGTTGAGATAAGAAATCATCTGGAGCAAGTACGTCGGGGGAACGTGATTGCACATACAGCAAGTAGGAGATTTGAACGAGATCATGTTCAGTGGACCAATGCGGAGTGGAGAAACGTACTGTTCTCAGACGAGTTTGAGATTCGGCTTGTACTCTCCACATGGTCGCGAGAGAGTTTCCAATACCTGGATGATTTGGATATCAGCAGAATGGAATGACCTACACGTAGCCATAATTTAAACCCCATAGTACACATATGGGATATGCTAGGAAGACGAGTTAGAGGACGTGGTGCCGCTATACAAACGCTAGATGATCTCAGAATAGCGCTAGTAGAAGAGTAGAACCAGAATTCAAAAATTAAATTCAAAACCTGATTCGAAGTATGCCTCGAAGGATGAGGGATCAATCTCGGTTTCCATTGCCGTTTGAAGAACAACATTGAAAATTTTTTCTAAGATTTGTTGTTTTGCATCGTTCTCCTTTTCTTTTTTCAACTCTTGGTAGCAATTTATAACTGAGTTAATATCACATGCGTAATTGCACTGGATAAATCTTTTAAAGTTAAATGTCGGATTGTTAAATTCTCAACTGTTTCGTCCTCTTCCACCATTTCGTTCTCAGCTAATTCAATTATCTCATCGTTCGAAAGTGGTTGACGATCAGCATCCAACAAATTGACGATATCATCTTCATCTAAGTCCTGAAAACCAACTTCTTTTGCCAAACTTAATGTTTTGTCTGGTTTCTGGAAGAATGAGTTCAGAACTACTGTTGCTAGTTGCAGGAGTAACACAATCTGGTAACATTTTTTTCTAAGCTCGATTTGCCAATATTGTCCACAGTATCTTTAATATTAATTTTTTTCCAAAATTCGTAAATTAACGATTAGCCTTTAGTTTCTTTTATAAGTTTTCGAAAAGTTTTACGCAAATAATGGATTTTGAATGTTGCTATTACTCCTTGATCCGTTGGCTGAATCAGGGCTGTGTATTTTAACCCTTTCGTTACTAAGAGCGTACGCATACGTTTTTGTATATATGGGCTTGCTAAATGATCTTGAAAATACTCCGTAACGAAAGGGTTAAGCAGATATTCAATTTTCACATCTTCAGCTAGTTGTGATAAATTAATGCGATGTCCAAATTAGATTTCCGCAGGTATTATTTTTCGTCACAACAAAAGTGATTATTGAACCAATCCTGGAATAGGAATTTTGTCATCCAAGCTTTTTTATTAGACTTCCAAATAACGGGGGAATAAATATGAGTAGATTACTCATATTTATTCCTTTTTAAAGCCCTTGGATTTTTGGACTTATATATTAAAAATGGTTTCAGTTTAAAATCTCCAGCTGCATTTGCACCAAGTAGCAACGTCAATCGGTCGTTAGATGCTTTAAATCCTTATGCAGCTTTTTCGTTCTTAGAAAGAGAAGTTCTATCAGGCATCCTCTTCCAATATAGGGCTGTTTCCCTCTTTCAATAATTACCATCAACGCGTTTGGTTACGCCAGGGCTGCATCGGTATCTGCGCTAGCTGCTTCACATTTTATCTTAACGTAGTGCAAGTAATGCCGCTTTTTGAATTTTTTTTTTTAATTTTTGATGTCTTATATTTTTTGGAAGAAAGTATCCAGCGTTCATTGCTTTTACTTTTGGTTTCTTTCATTGAGAATATATGGTCGAATGGATGCGATAATGCCTCTTTTTACATTAGCACATTTGAGTTCATCACTCAAAGTTTTCATAGTTGAAAGGATACTCTTTAGATCGGCCGTTTTAATCACTTTTGGAATTTCGGAATTTTTTTGGTTCTTCGTTATCTTCATCCTCTAACTGTTCACGATACAATTCTTTGTATAATTCTTCTAGGTCTTCATTTGAGAGTGGTTGATCTTAGACCTCTAAATGTTCTGTGACATCTTGAGCAGTAACAATTTTCACTCCCAAATCACCTGCAATCATGATAACACAAGATGTTATGGTACTTCTTCAAAATCGTGCATTAATGTTGGCAGAAGTTGACGCTAAACTACATATAAACACTTCATCCCAAGACGACTTTACATTATTAATGCATTTTAAAATACCGAAAGACCGCCAATAGTTTTTTGACTGTTTTATCTGAAGTGTTCAAAACTCTCACTATTTCCAAGTAAGTATTGCGGAGATGGTATGCCTTAAAGGTTTCAATAACCCCCTGATCAAACAACTGTGACAGCCAATGGTGTTATATTTTCGACCAAGTTTTGAGGATATCCTTTAGCATTGTCCAATAGAAGTGCCTTGGGTGTTAATTTATTTTTGCAAAAATAATTTGTATACCAATATGTCAAAATAGCAACAGCTTGTGTTCCATTTCCAGTAAACTATCATGTATCATGTCTTTATTGTGACCCTTTAAAGCACGTGGTGCCTCTTAATGGTACACTAACATCGGTTTAAGTTTCAAAGTTCCTGAAACATTCGCTCCCAGCAAGAGTTATTTTATCTTTCGCAACTTTAAAACCTGGAGCAGCTCTTCACCAGAAAAAAAAGTTATTGGTGGTAATTCTAATAATCTTCTAATAAAGACCTATCTCATCAACGTTGAAGATTAACTTTAGAGAATAATTGCCTTCTGCACTTCACCCTATAATTTCACACTATGACAGTTCGGGATTTAAACCTCATAAACCAACCCTTGCTTCCCAAAAATGTTTCCTCACCTCCATCTGTTTCCTTAAGATTATTAAAAATTGATTTTGTTTTTTCTGTTGTAGCAGCTTGAGTAAATGGAATATTTGTTTGAACCCATAACATAAATTTTACCTCTGCTATAACTTACATGTTTAACATTTAGTGCTGTAGACTGTTGAGCAGAGTGTTTAATTTTATCTATATTTTTCATAATTGTAGTAACACTCGATGGAGGCAAGTTTTAAGTACTACAGACATTAAGGCGTGTTTGTCCAGCATAGGGGAAAAGACCAATCGAGACATCGGGGATTCACACAGCAAATTGCGTAGCGGCGTAATTGTGAAACAGCGTAAATTTAGTCAGCGTAAACCGAGGGCTACCTGTATATTCATTTGACGCATTACCATTTTTCGTTAATTGTTGTCTTCAATCCACATCATCAATAACTGTTCCAGTTTATCACTTATATGTTAATTTAGACACACTTGAGCAGCAGAATGTGAACGTAGTTTATTTTTTTCTTTATCCTTTCGAATTGTTGGAACTATAGATTTGGGAAGTCTAAAAGCGTTACAAATATCGATAGTATATGAAGTACTTCAAGTTTTGTTTGTAAGGAGATAGCTTTTTGGTTTCTTTTTTTTATTCCACTGGTACTCATGTTCTCTACAAAATGGATTCACACCAATTTAGTGCATAACAATATTTTTATAAAAATTTAATAAAAAGGTTTATTCGAATAAAGCCCAAGACTTACATCAAAGATCAATTAATCAAGAAGCAGTACTTACCTACAAGTTATAACATAAATATACACTTAATAACCAAAAACAAAGATTCAAATAAACAATTCCACCTACTTTAAAGTTACTATAGGATTGTACTTTATTGTCCAAGAGGCAACTGAAACGCACCTACGTGTGACTGCTACGAGTTCTGACGATTCACGCGAAATAGGGGATTTACCAAAGTTTGCCCGTAAATCGAAACCTTCGCATAAATTAAAAACGCCGTTATAGCAAATAACTGTATAAAGAGGAGCCATATATAGAGGTATGAGTGTATTCACAATTGTCGAAATTGAAGAGCTCCAAAATGGTGATGGCAAAGGGTAGACCTTTCAAATAAAAAAAAAACCTTATTCAAATCAATCAATACGTTCAAAAGTTATTGCAGTTTGAAACTGGTTATCATTTTAGGTGATGCTTTTTTTATGCCACTGAGTATATAAATAGTTATAGTGAAACTGTATTTGGTTGTCTACTTACTATTTAATTTACAATATTTGCAATTATCTGGACTAGGTAATGTTAAAATTGTTAAAAAAGCCATTGTTGTATCAATCCTAAAAAATATAATAACCTATAATTCGAATTTTCTTTAACTAAGAATCATCTTTTTTGTTGTTAATATTACATACATACTATAAGATCCAGATCCATAACAAATTAATCGAAATGGATCAGTTGGGAACTGCATAAATACGATTTCTCTGAGTACACATTGTCCTTGTAACAATTTAAAAATAGGGTATTTTGCAACCAGTCTTAACCTTTTCCCAGGTACAAACCTCCATATATATAATTCGTATTCAGGATCGGGAAGAAGAATTAATCTACCCTCTACGTATTTCTCCATAAAACTAACAACATACTGACCGCATAATGTAAATCCCATAAAAATATGATTTCTACAAAAAAAAAATCAAACAACTTAAAATTATTGTAATAAAATAAAAAAACTTACAAAGCTTCGGGCTCTATGAGCTTACTAAGTTGGAATTTACATTGAGAATGGATCTCTGATACTAATTTTTCCGTTTTCGCTCTAGGATTTCTAGTAACACGACCGTAAATCTACACAAAATCATCACAACAATTTCAATTTAAATAATTTGTTTACGTTTACGAAAGTTTAAATCGCCACTTTTGAGGTTAGAACCGAACTTACCTGCCTCAAGTTCAACTTATGAATCAGATTGAGATTTTTTTGCGCGCCGGTTGTGTGAACATTGAAATCTCTTTCGCTGTCTTGCAAATCCAGACTATCGAAGGAACTTTGTATTCCATCCTGGGATAAATTTGAATCAGAAGTATCGTCCTCGTAAAGAGATGACGCCGCCATGTTGTTTTTAGATTGTTTGGTCCATTTCACATCAACAACTTTTTTTCAATAACTTTTTAATTTCGTTTAAATCTTATTTAATATCTCATTTTCTTGTTATTATTAATTAATAAAATACCAATGTTTTTGTGTTATTATCGCGATTTTAATTTCAATTTATAAATAATCCTTTTTGAAATTCCCACTACCTGTTTTACCGACATATTTTTTTGACATTATAAAATAATTAACCTCTCAATTTAATTAATTAAAAGAAATACGAATAAAATGAAATGTTTTATTATACAAAAAATACAATATTAATAATACGCTTCTTAATTCTAATTAAATACTTAAGTACCTAGATTAAGACTTATCAGGGGGGAATGACTAGATAGGATGCTCAAACTGTTTTCCGTATCAGTCAAAAAAACCAAAACTCTTGTCTTTAAAAAAAAATCAAGCGCACATCTTCGATCCGGACCAAACACTCAAAATTCTTTCTTCAAAAAAGTTGTTAATTTAATCAAATTCTCATTTCTGCTTCCAACAGAGGGAGAGGGATTCTTTTTGTATACAATTTTCTTAATTAAGCGAGTTCAAGAAGTAACTGAAACCGTTAAAGGTTTCGACATGGTTCCATTGTTCTTATTTTCCAAGCATTGAACATTTTCGATAATCTATAACAAAAAAAGCAATTAAAATAATCGTTTTATTATAAATTAATTAATTAATCTTACATTTATTAAGTGATCAAATCCATATAATAATCCTTCTTCGCGATTTCCAAGTTTCCACGGTGTTCTATGATCAACCGTTTTCCCTTCATCCAATTTATTCGTTTTCGCAAAATCAATTAACCAAGCCCCGATTTTATGATCATCATAAATCATAAATAAACTACTACCAATAACTTCGTGACGTTTAAAATAATCTGATTGTTCAATTTTCATTCGAATCTCTCTCAATCGATCTAAAAGTCGTCGTTTCACTTCACTTTTGCCACCAAGAAACGTATCCATCGTCCTTGCAATATCTTCGGGTGATTTAATAGTCTTTAAATTAGTTACTGGGGGTGATCCGCGACATTTCATCGCGTCAATACGAAATCCGTGACTTCTCGTTGACGATTGATTCTCACGAAATTGCATGTAACGTAATTTCGTAACTGCTTTTAATTGGTGTTCTTCTTTGGATGGACCATTTGGGTCAATTGCTATCATTTTTTTATATAAATCGTTGCGAGCGTTGGTTTTTTCAACTTCACATTCTAAGAATGTTCTTGTACCCATTTTTATGTCGATTACATAAGGGTCCTGGAAAGAAAATGTATTAGTATGATAATTATAACAATTTTATGTTGTATTTCTTACTTGAAATCCGCTTAATAAATCTTGCAACTCAATAAATCTCTCTCCTTTATATTCAACTTCGCGGAAATATCTTGGTGCTATATCCCTCAGGCTCGGATCTTTGCTTAATTCTTCATAAACGTATCTTTCTGTGTCACTCGGATCTCCGCTGCGTTTTTTCCAAACAGTTCCAGGTCCCGCTGGGGCTAAACTATCCGGATGACCGCTTAGTTGGAACCAACTGCTATTTCTCGATTTTAATAAGACATCACTGGCGGGTGCGCTTAAATCTAAGGCGTTCTAAAAAAAAGAGAAAAATTTGAATAGTACAAAAAGAAATATTCAGGAAGTTCTTTTTGTTTTCATTGTATTTTGTACGTGATTAAAAGGTTTTTGCGGAAGTTTCGATTAAGGTAGAAGATAAAAAAAATTAGTAAGGTCAATCGTTTGTGCGACCAGAATAAAATCTTTTCGAACGTGGTAGAAAAAATGTGAAACGACCGATTGAAAACGGTACGAAACGGGACGCACGTCAATTTCGACGAGAAAGTTGCAGTTGTACCTACGTCAATCGGTCAATAATAAATACGCTCTGGTAACCTTTCGACCGAATTTATGTCGTAAAAAGTTGGAAAAAAGATGATAACAAAAAAAAATTGTAAAAAAAATATAAAAGAAGTAATAAAAGGAATTAAAAAAATAATAAAAAAGAAATTGAAAGGAGTAGTAAAAAAAATTCTAAAGAAGTAGTAAAATAAAATTGTAGTATTATATAACAACGTTTATGAAAACACACTATAAACCTATTGTTAGAAAGCTATTTATTCAAAAACTGTTAAAAACTTAAAAAATGTCGTAATATTATAGGCACGTACGGGTGATAGAGTTTAATTGTTTATGAGTAGTGTTACAAATACCTTTTGTATCTTTTGAATTATTTTAAACGTTATTTTTAGTGTTTTTTTCGATTTATTTAAAAATTTTACATATAAGGTTAAGTTTAAGGTCAACTTAACATTCAAATAAATTACAACTGCAATAAAATGAAATGTAAAATAAAACATAAATAATAAAACCATATTTAATTATACGAACACTTAAAATATCGATTATAAAGATTCAAATATCATTTTGACGTTTTAAATGTCATGTTGACGTTTTTAAAAAAGTCAATTTAAAATGTCATTTTGACGTTTAATATAAATCAAAATGCCATATTTAACTTGTTTCTAAGTGAGAATGAGGCAATAATTATCTAATTTTTTTATTAAGGTATCAAAACGAACTGTTAACAAAATTCCTTGTAAAAAAACGTCTCTAAAGATTGAAATGTAATTTTGAAAATGTAATTTTTCTGTCAGTTACAAGATATACATACCGGGAATTTCATATAACTCGCAATATATGAATGCAATAACCATA